CAATTAACCTCAGCATGTTTCTGGACTGTGGGAGGAAGCCGGAGAACCCGGAGAGAACCCACGCTGCACGGGGAGAACATGGAGACTCCACGAAGGAAGATCCCGGGCGTCACTGTTTTGTGTTTTTATCTGCCTTGTGAAGCACTTTGTAACCTGGGTTTTCTATAAACACAAATCAATATTATTGGTAAACGACTCTCTGTTTGGCCCGTCAGACGCCCGACTGACTCACAGATGACAAAATCAAAATCAAGCTGTTTCTTACATCCCCTGCGCTGTCCTTAATGCCCAGGATGTTCGGATGCTGAGAAAGCTGCAGCACTGCGTCCAGCGGCAGGTCCAGCCCCGTGTTGGCCGGCACGCTGTACAGAACCACCGGCACCGGGCTGCTGTCCGCCACCTGCAGGGGGGAGAATCACACACATGAGGGACTCGACAGACAACCTGTTGATTGAGATGTTTTACTCTACAGGTGGAGAGGTGGTTTCTAGCATTTTTCTCACAGCAGCTCTTGGTGATTTTTTTTTTTTTTTTCCACGGCATCATTCCGTGTAAATCTGCATATTTAACCGGGTTTTTTTTTTTTGCGCCGATGTACATGTTGATCCTGTTGCTTGGATACATTTGAATACAAAAGATGCAGTAAAATGAAAAGACATCGTGCGGCACCCTCGACCTGGACGTGTCTGCATCTTCCTGTACGACAACTTTACAAAACAAATAACTCAGTTTGTGTGTGTGTGTGTGTCAGAGAAAAATTCCTCAAACAGTTGTTAAAACGTGGTTTAAGGTTTTAAGTCCAGGTTACGGTTCATGTGAGGCAAAGCGGTGTGTCAGCTGTGGTTGTGTCACGAGCATTCAAATACTAATGTGTGTGTGTGTCTCTCGGCTGACCTTTGTGTAGTGCTGGATCAGGGCGCGGCTGTCCATCTTGCCCTTGTAGTAGCAGGGCGTCACCACGAGGACGGCGTCGGCTCCGGCCGCTGCCATCTTCTCCGTGAGCTGGACCGTGGCTCTGGTGGCTGATCAGAAACAGGAAACAGCTTCACCGACACATTCGCTGTTTGGGAACATTTCTGCAGAACATTTGTTTTTGCTCATATAATGCATGCACGGACCCATCGAAGGTCACCATGTGCTCTTTCTCCTTCTTAGGAAACGACACAATCTTGGCCTCAGTCCTCGTACACGCCGAGCAGAAAGAGCAGAAAGGACGCAGACAGACTGAATATCAGTGAGAGAAAAAGGAGATACGGCTGGAAAATGGCCCTGGATTAGACATCGGTTATCAGAAAGAAGGCCAAGCAGGCGTGAGAAAATTCACGGAACAAAAACACCGACGTCACTGGAATGCTTCTCGAACATGCTCCACACTTAATAGGTGAAATAAGTGAGGAAACACAAACCCGGTTGAAGTTTTTTTTACGCGAGCGCTGAATGAAGGAAGAAGACAGAAGCGGAGGCGAGTCTCTCTGAATGCTTTTCATAAGCGATGCAACCGAGCAGCCAATGAAACTCTCACAGACTCCATTTGACTTCAATTATCAGGCCATAAAAACTGATGACACCGCCGAGCTCTGTGATAAATCAAGGCCACTAAAATCCATAGTGGAGGAGATGTGAGGATCCATTTAAAGCTTTCAGCGCGCCTCAAACAAAAAAAAAAAAAGTCTGCATCGCCCACGAAATCTTCAACTGTTTCCTTTCAAACACGCGTAGCTCTGAATAAAATGAAAATCTGATCAAAGCGGTGTCAGGAGGAGTGAAGCTAGCGCTGTTTAAACGTTTCCGTCCTTTTGTGACGGCAGAATTCTGTGTTAACCGCAAAAATAATTAATCGCACTATGAGAAGTTAGTTTAATGAGTTTTCAGATTATTTGTGATGGTTTTTTAAGATAAAACTCCACGTTAGCGATGGTTTGAAGGCCTCGCTCACAACGTAGGAAAGTCTTAAAGGAGAAACCGGCATGTTTTGAT